GACACAAGAAACAAAACAGAGGTTGCCAAGGCTGGGAGAAAATGGAGTTTAGCGTTCAATGTAGATGAGTTTCAGCTTGGGAAGGTGAGAAATTTATGCAGATGATGGTGGTGTGTAGCACAACAGGGTCATGGTCCTAAATCCTATAAATGGTACCTTTAAAAAGGTAAAAATGGTGCATTTTATCTTGGAATATTGTAACACTGTTATGCCACGAGAGAACCGAGAGACCACTAGAGCCAAATTAAAGCCGAAATAAAAAGCAAAACTGGTCAATAACTGATCCCAAGATATTGAAGTTCAGCTCAGATTTTCAGCTTTGTTTTTATCTTATAGGTAGCTTGTTATAAACCTCTGCAACTGTCATTTCTTGTTGGAATTGGAAGAGAGCAAGCAAGCAAGTACAGAAGTGGAGGCAGCTATCAGAAACTGGGAGGAAACAATGGTGGGAGGGAGTTGAGGTGGAAGAAAACTGGGTGAACTGGGTCATCACACATCTATCCTGCTATACATTCTGCTATTTACTTTATTTTCTAATTTCTGAACACTAACAAATTTGCTTAGGGGTCAAGTTCATTTGAAGGCATACCAGGCCAGTTGCTACTTCCTCAGTTTTCCTCTGAAAGCTTCATAGGTGGCCTTTTGTTTATTTGATCAGGATGAGGGAATAAGAGCAGGCCAGTACATTTTCAGGGGAATCAAATCATTGTTGCCTGATCTGAATTTTGAATTCTTGGTAATGGGTGTTTAGGACCATAAGTTTAACTGCTTGCATTCTTTCTCTAATATATTTAATTAAACAGTTAATAATCATGGGGCCAAAAAGTAGCCTTAAGAGCAATAATAAAAAAGGTTCTGTTATTGTTGATAAGGGGGTTGTTACCATGGAGACCAATTATATAAACCCTCCCATCAGTTTCTTCCTGATTTTCTTAATTCTTCCTTATCTTTAATTCTCTGTCTAACTAGAGTAAAATTTTCTTATATTATTCCAGAATGGGCCCTGGCCAGTTTGGCTCAGCGGTTAGAGCGTCGGCCTGCGGTCTGGAGAGACCCGGGTTCGGTTCCCGCTAAGGGCACGTACTTCGGTTGCAGTTTGTCCCCGGCCCTGGTTGGTCGTGCGGGTGGCAGCCACTCGATGTGTCCCTTCCCGTCGATGTTTCTGTCTGTCTCTCCCTTCCTCTTCCTCCCTCCCACTCTATCTGTACAAAAAATGGAAAAATATCCTCGGGTGAGGATTAAAAAAAAAAAAAAAAAAGAAGAGGATGATATCAAGTCCTTATCTAATCTGTAATACTATTTTAGTTAGGGAATTTAGGGACTTTTCTAAATGAGTAAAAGAGTTTTCCAGGTCTAAGAAGTCTTGATCTAGGGGCTTATTAAATGCCTTAAAATTCTAGTTTCCTGTGACTAGTGCAGTTGTACCAATGGCTGCAGAGCCTGCTAATCCTAAAGTTACTGAGAGTGGAACTAATATGGGTGTTGCTTTTTTTTTTTTTTACTCCCAGCAGAGATGGCAAAATTCCCATGCCCGCTTTCATCAAAGAAAATGTAGACCTGTGGGATTACATAAATTAGAATACATAGTCCAAAATAATTATTATGTAAGTTAATATAGGGAGTTAGTCCAGTAGGGCTGGCAAACCAAGTCTCTTCTGGGGTTACAAGTGATCAGGGGTCTTTGTATACTTGGAGGTCCTCTGGCATAGAAATCAAAATATTAGTTCAGGGTGCCATAGGATGTGTTAGTGACAATAATGTATATTCATCCTGGGTTATAATAAGTCTCCAGAGATACTGAGTCAGCTGGTGGGGATTTCCCCAAGTCAGAGAAGCAGAGGTCCCAAGAAGCAGAATCGAGGTAATTTTACCTTCAAAGAGTTGTTTGTTCATTGAAGGGTTCACTTTTCAGGTATCCGGTTGGCATGTGCCTTCTTTCCCTGGGTGTGATAAATCTAGAAATTATGACTTGTCTTCCTAAAGGCCATTGGAGTGATGAGAATTACAGGCAGAAAACAAGTCTGTCTTGGTTCTGGCAAAGTAGTTGAATCCAATTTTTGGGCTGAACATTTTGGATATCTGAGTTCACTGGAAGAGAAAACTTGGTGAGACAATCTCTTATTATCTGATAGTTTTCCATTGGATGAGTTGATAACCTTTAAAAACTTATAAAGATAATAATTGTTTAGTGCATTAGGGCTTCTTCTCCTAATTTGGGGAGAAGCGGTGGCAATCTCCCATACATTATATCATAGAGAGAAACCCTTAACATAGAGTACATCAAACCCGCAATAGAGAACAAAAAGGAGGCTGACCCAATTTTCACCTGTCTCTAACTTTAATGTAGTAATAGCCTCCTTTAATGTTCAATTTATACTTCCTATCTGTCCTGAACTCTGAGGGCTGTATGCGCAGTGTAATTTCCAAGTAATTTTTTAAAATTATAGCTAAGGTTTGTGTAATCTGGGTAATGAACACTGGGCCATTGTTGAACTCCATTGTTAAAGGGAGGCCAAATCAGCAAACTATTTTTGATATTAATTTTTTAGCTATTGTCTGAGCTGTCTCAGATTTAGACAGAAAGGCTTCTGTCCAAACTGAAAAAGTATCAATAATAATTAGGCATTTGTAACCAAAATTTCCTGGAACTATTTCAGTAAAGTCTATTTTCTAATGTTTCCCTGGGTTCTGTCTGCATAGTTGAATCCCCAACTGAGCATTTTCTTGTTGTTTTGTATTTGTTTGAGCATAAGTAGGACAGCAAGCCGCAGTTTGCTTGGCATAAGAGTGAAGTCTTGGAATGAAATAATCTTCATGAAGATCAAGCAGTTTAGTTCCTTTTTGTGGGTACCCTGGTGAGTTTTAAATATCAGATCTTGTCTTAGTGCTTCAGGTAACAGAATTTTCTGACCTACAGGTATGCATCACCTGGAAGAGTTTATGTTTTCTCTTAGCTTAATTCTGAGTTCTTTTTTTTTTTTTTTTTGTCTGTATAAGAGGGAACTTCAGGGAGATTTTATGGAGGTAGCATAAGTAAAGTCTGAACAAGCCCCACTAATTTTGGGGGAGTTTCTCTTGAAGTTCAATCTGCAAAAGCATTTTCCTGGGCCACTGGGTCATTGGTTATCTGATGTCCTTTATAGTGAATAATGGCAACCCTTTGAGGCAGCCGGATGACCTATAATAGGGCTAGAATTTCAGCTTTGTTTTAGTTTCATTTTCCTCTGAGATGAGGAGTCCTCGTTTCTGATACAGGGCCCCCTGTACATGAGCAGTAGTGAATGCCTATCTACTGTCAGTATAAATGTCTATAGTCTTTTCTTTTTCCCAATCTAAGGCTTGTATTAAGGCTATAATTTTAACCTCTGTGCAGAAGTCCATTTTCAATGCCTGTGCTTAGAATATCTTATCTAGTATTACCATAGCAGCCCCTGCATATCTGGTGCCCTTTGACAGAAGCTGTTCCCATCTGTATAGGAATCAGCATTTGGGTCTGGCCAGGGTGTGTCGCTGAGGTCTGTTCAAAGGCTAGTCAAGGAGTCCAGAACCTTGAGGTTAAACAGCATAAACAGGTTATGCTGGGTCATCATCAGGCTGAAGGTGGCAGGGTTTAGGATAGTAGTCTTTGAAAATTTAATCTTTGAGAGATTTAACAAGATCACTTGATATTGGACAACTTTGGCATGGGACATGCATCATTCAGAACATTTCTGAGTAGGGTTTTAACAGCATGGGGTGTTATAATTTGTAAATCTTGTCCTAGGGTCAGTTTAGAGGCTTTCTTAGTGAGCAGGGCTGTAGCTGCTATGGCCCTTAAGCAGTGTGGCCACCCGGAGGCTACTAGGTTTAGTCTCTCAGATAGGTAGGCCATTGGATGTTTCCAAGGACTGAGGACCTGTGTGAGTACTCCTTTAGCAATCCCCAAGTTTTCAGAGATGAATAATTAGAAAGGCTCCTTAAAATCAGGTAGGGTCCGGGCCAGGGTGCTGATGAGAGTCTCTTTTAATTCTTGGAAAGCCTTCACCTCAGTTCCAGTCCCAATTAAATTGTATGTCTTTCTCCTTGTATTGGTGTATAGGGGCTTTCCAGTTTCTGCAAATCAGAGTATCCAGAGGTGGCAGTACCCAACTGCTCTTAGAAATTTCCAGACCTGTTTCTTTGTTTGTGGTTGGGGTATTTTCAGAACGGCCTCAGTGCAGTTTGTGGAGAGGGACTGTTTTACTCCTTTCAGTTCACAGCCTAGATAGGTGGCATTCTCAGTGCATAACTGAGCTTTCTCTCAAAACTTTACCTTCTGTAATTTCCTCCTACTGTCTGTGGCCCACTGGATAACAAAAGCAATATTAATAGCTCTCTTATTATTAGAAGCTTTCAGGTTAATGGGTGTAAACAGCCAGTAAGCTTCCATTAAATGCTGTAAGAAAAACAGCTGGGGACTCTCCTGGCTTCTGAATAGTCTTGCTTACCTTAGATAAATTGGTTGGTTTGTTAGTTGCTACCCAGATGCCCCATAATAATCAGGGGATATTGTTTGAGAGCCTCCTTAGCCTGGGGATGTGAGTAGCCAGTGACAAAGATGGATGGGATCAGAGGTGGGTTTTTTGTCTGGCCTGAGAACAGCCTTAGCTGCTTCTCAATAGATTCCATCCCTTTCTTCAGAGGTGAAAAGAATCTGCAAAAGCTACTGACAATCATTCCAAGCAGCCTGGTGGGTGTGAAACAGTTTCTAACAGAGAGATTAATCCTTGAGGTTTGTCAGAGAAAGAAGGGGTTTGTGTTTTTCAATTATATAGGTTTTAGGGGACAAGGAAGCTTATATTGTAAAAGGCCACAGATGATAAAGTAATAAGTGATTCAGGGACCAGCACATCAATAGTCAAACAGCTTGCCAGGGAGAATATTAATAATCCTGGCAGAGAGTCATTGAGCCCTCACCACAAAGAAGCCAATACAACCAAATAAATACATCCATACTCATTCAGACATTGGGTCTTCCCATTCATAGGGGTCACAACAGCTGAGGCGCTGAGAGAAGCCCTCCCTGCCGGCAAAGCAAGAAAAAATGGCAAAAGGTAATTATTATTTTATGTAAATTCCCTACCTTCTATTATTTATTAATCTTACATTTTTATTACATTTATAATTTTACTGTTATTATGCCCTTCTCAGGTGGAGACCCAAAGTACATCAGAGGTATCATTTTATCTATGCTATAGTAACCACAGCTCAGATCTAATTTTTCCTTTTTATATGTGAATAATTTGTAGCATCATGAAAAAAAAAAAAAATTCTCAGTTAAACCAAAAAGAGCTTGATTCTCAGGCCTCTGGAGCTTAATCCAAATGTTTTTTCTTTAAATAAGCCAAGCATGACATTACAAAATATCTTATATTGTATGCCCCTTGAAAGTGAGGACTGTGTTTGTATAACCCACAACATTAGCAGAGACCCATATATAAGAGGCATTCTATGCATTTGCACTAATTTGGTTTTCTTTCACAAGGAGAGGAAACAGATCTTTGAGAAATTTCACTTCATATTGGAATGACTCAAAGCTAATTCCAGGTCAAGAAGAGTTTCTTAAAATTTAAATTCTGAGAGGGTTGTCAAACATATTTGACCAAAAGATTATATAGTATTATTACAAAACAGTATTTAATTATTTATTCATTTAAAGTGCAAATAACTAATTAACATAACATAAAACCATTTCAATAATATATATAACTTTTGCTTCCCAAGCAAATATTGGGGAAAAAAACTTTTTCCCTTTTAACAGGCTGAAAAAGAACCAAATAAATTCTATATTAATTTATTTTAGATGCATGTATCTTAATAAATGTATTATTTATCTTACTTATGATTTTCTTGTAAGATTTATTTTAACAAATGTTTTAAATTTCATAAACCTCTTATCCATTTACAAATAACCAGTTTTAAAACAATTTTCTTCCAAAATATATATATATTTTCATATCTTACATCTTCTTTCATTTTAACCATATAATTTCTTTCTAACTCGATCTGCCCTTTTAATTCTTACAAATGTTGATTTTCTCTTTTTTTGTGACAAATAATTAATAGTATTCAGATAGGCATGTATATTGATATTTTCAACAAACATTTTCAAATTAGTAAATCATTAACAGATCCAAATCCATCCTCTAGTGTTCTCTTATAAGAACTCAAAGTATACAGAATCAGGTTAATTAACATTTACTATATCCTCAGGGGGGGTCCTGAAAAACAAGATATAATTTTCTCAAGGGCTGGGAGGAGTTACAGTTCTTCAGGAATACTGAGGCATTGTTAACAAAACTGGTTTATTTTTCTTTTGAACCTCTGGAAACTGACATTTTTAAATATATGGCATTTGGTCCGGGTGCCCAGGGCTCTTGCATATTTTCTGATGGACCACAAAAACCAATTGCAAATTGAAATGACCTATGAGTGGCCAATTAATCCTATAAGTAGGCAATTCCAGTTCACACAGGGTTCGTTAGGCCCCAAAGCTTAGCAGGACATTATAAATTTTCGCTTGAGCTTTGAAATTTTTAAAGTTATTCAGTAGGCATTGAAATGGTTTTTTGTTTTTTTTTTTTAACCAGTTTGGCTTTGGCCCATGACAACAAAGAAAGGTGAAACCAGACAAAAACAGATAACCAAGAGGGCCAATAAACAAACAGAAAAAAACAAAAACAAAAACAAAACCCCACAGATAGAACGACTGAAATCAAAGTTCAACCAAAATAAACACAACAGAACTGACTGAAACCAAAAAACAGAACTGACAACTGATTGAAGTTACAGAACTGACTGAAGGTTCAGAACTGACTGAAGTTTCCTGCGATGTCTCACTAAGAAACCTCGCTAGGAAAGTAATGCTGCATTCAGCCTTTTCCCTTGACACTTAAAGGCACCCAAGAGAACAAAAACAATACTCACTGATGAGATTCCAGATGACTCAGATGAGTCCAGAGGCTCTCTGAGAATTTATTTTAGAGCGGAATGTGAGATAGGGCTAGGGAAACTGGCAGGTCAGGCTTAGTCCCCAGGCAGAGGAAATGTCTCTCTGAGGTCTTCCCCTAGACCAGTCCCCCTTGCAGTTTTGATAGCTGGTCTAATGGACCTGCCTGAGGCTTCCTCATAAGGTAAGAATCACAGCAGCCTCCAAATGTTGTAGCAAAAGAAAACCAGGAGACCACCAAAGCCAAATTAAAGCCAAATAGGGAGCAAAGCCAGCTGATGACTGATCCCGAGTTTTTGAAGATCAGCCTTGACTTTCAGCTACATTTTTATTTTATAGAGAGAGCTTCTTACAAACATCTGCAACTGTTTTTTTTTTTTTTGTTAGCCTTGGGGAAGAGCAAGCAAGCAAGTACAGAAGTGGAGGCAGTTAGCAATAAGTGAAACTGAACACAGGTGGGAGAAAGCTGAGGTGAAAGAAAACATGGTAAATTGGGTCATCAAAAATCTATCCTGCTATTCATTTTGCTATTTATTCTATTTACCACGTTGTAACATCTAACAAATTTGCTTAGAGGACAAAAGAAGTTGCAGGGCAGTTGGTACTTCCTCACTTTGCCTCTGACAGCTTCATAGTTGGCCTTTTGTTTATTTAATCAGGACAAGATGATAAAAGCAGGCCACAATTTAAACATTAGTACAACACAATTTAAACAGCACCACAAAATAACCAATGGTTTATGAAGAGCAAAGATGGGTTGGAATGATTCAAGAATCCAGACCTCATGGTTTGGCAGTACCATCACTGCCCTTTCTAGGTCCCATGTTTGGATTTGCTTTCACACACATGCTCAGTCCTGTCACTGCCCAGGAAAGAGCAAGACAATGCTGGAGATGGCATTACCTGCTGACAGTCATAACTGGCAGTCAGCTGATACTCCGTCCACAAAGCTAAGGGCAAGGATGCTTGGAGACTGGCCCAAAAACGTGATGGTGTGAGTTTCTGTGGAAATAAAGGGGGCCTGAGCTTACCTGTCTTGTAGACTGTCCAATGACAGTTAACCTGTTCACGGACCAAATACTAAAAGGGTAAACTAAAGTGACTCCCTAAAATCTCAAGGCTGTTCTCACCCGGCAAACTATATATAAATCTTGCAGTGGTTCCCTAACAAATACAAAAAGACTGGAGGAGAACTTCTCAAATGTACAAATGGTAGTAACTGCCAAGTTGTAACAGAAATAAGAAAAGCAAATCATTCTTATGCTTTTATAACAACTGAGCAGGCGACCAGAAACTTCTTCAAAGGCCAGAGCCATAAAACACCTTTTCAAGAGTTGAGAATTTTTGCAATAAGAAAAATGTCTTTTTTGAGGTTTTAAACCAAACAGTCACTGTAATTCAGGAGAGTCTTTTGGTAGGTTGTTTGTTGTTTTACTTCTTTGTTTTTAATTTTTTTTAGAGAGAGGAAGATAGAGGGAGAAATGATAGAAACATTGATGAGAGATAACATTGATTGGTCACCTTCTGCATGCCCCCACTGGGAATTTGGCCCACAATCTGAGCATGTGCCCTGAGCTGAAATTAAACTGACAACTTTTTGGTGCATGGGTGGATGCTCAACCACAGAGCCACACCAGGTGGACCAAGAGAGTGTTAAGTAGAAAAACTGTAGAAGGGCCACAGTGATGACGAGAAAGGTGTGTCACGCTAGGAGCCAGGGTTGGGGCCATCGGAACGTGCCATTATAAAGTGTCCTTGGCCGAGTGGAGCCAGGCACTCATGTGCACCTTTGTTCTGCTTCACTTGCAAGGGTCAATCCCACTTTTTCTGCCCTCCTTCTACTGACAATACCCCACTATGATTCCTGGTGTAAATCTCCAGTTTGCCTGCAAGACTCCTTCCAGAAGCTCACACACCTGATCCAGGCACCAAGGAAGAGAGGAGGAAAGAGAACAATGAAGAATGGCAAAAGGCAGAATGGGAGGGAAACCTCTGGCTTTATTTTTATTCTTCACTTTTTATTTTATATTTTACTTGCAGTATAATTTACAAAGAGTGAAACATAGTAATCCTAAGTATGCTTCTCAAGGAATGTTTACACAGATTCCCTGTAACCTCCACTCAGATCAGGAAACAAAACATCTCTGTTTTCTTCAAAAAATTTTGATGCCTCTGGTTGGAAAATAGCCAGTGTCTAACCCCTCTGCCCTCACCTCAACGATGGGCTTTTGGTTTTCTTTGTTCAGCATAATGCTTTGGGAGTCACCTGTCATATGCTGTGGTTTTTCTAAGTTCTTACTCTTGTCTTTGTTTACTCTTGTTTTGGGGTTTAGTTTTGTAATCTATGATTTTTAAAAATTGGCAATGAACCCCTTTTGATTAATGAGTGAATGTGTGTGTGTGTTGTGTGTGTGTGTATACATATATATAATTATATATATAATCTTGGTGAAAGCACATAACCCTTTATACAGTGTAAATTTAAAACAAGGTTGTTTTCAAAAGTCCATTCACCTATAAATTTGATGGTTATATCCCTGTCTGGCTTGCTGAGTTTGTTAAAGCATCATCTCCATAGGTCAGGATTGCAAATTGGATCCTGGGTCATGGCACATACAAAAATAAACCGGTGAATGCTACATAAGTGGAATAACAAACTGATGTTTCTCTCTCTTTGCCTCCCTCCATTTCCCGCACTCTCTCCTCAAAATCAATCAATAATAGTTTTAAAAAATCACTGATATAACAGCCATATTCAATTTCTGACCAACTACAGTGAAACAATTTTGGCTCCTCATTTGGCGTGTGTATGCTGCCACCTAGTGAAAATATGGAATGATCTATTAATGAATGTACAATATAAAATCCAGATGTGTTTTTTGTTTATTGATAAAAATACCATCTATAACTTACTAATACTAAGACATACACACTTTAGAAAATTTCTAGTACACAAACAAAAAGATAACCCTGACCAGTGTAATTATTTTGCTATTGCTTTAGGATTCTCAGTTCCTGAGCAGAAAAAATAGAAAAATGAAAGATGCAGTTGTTCTCTCTGTATAAAATCAATTTTAAGCTCTTTGGGTGCTAATCTGGAACTTAGTTGTGATACTTGATTCTTGCCTTGCTCGCCTATCATCAAGCCTCTTCTCTGAAAAGTTAAAATGTAACCTTGTTTAGAAACTTTGGTTGCTTTAAGGTTGTCTCTTCTTTCAAATTTTTTATTTATTTTAACACAATATAAAATGTTACAATGAACAATTGGTTAAAATGTCGTCCCAAAACCCACGGTTTCAGGATCAATCCCAGGAGAACATAGGAGAAAGAATAAATGAATGCATAAATGAGTGAGGCAAAAAGACATGTATTTCTCTGTCCCTTTTTCTCACCCTATCTCTTTCTCTCTGTCACTTCCTCTCTTCAAAATTAATCAGTGGATAAATAAATTTAAACAATCACTGAACTGTTTAACAGCGACATTCAATTTCAGACTAAATGCCAGGAACCATTTTTTGCCATATCTGATGTGCATGTGCTGTCACCTAGTGGAAGAAGGCTCTATGAATGTAGAATCTAGAAGTATGCTTTACATACTGAGATACTACTTCTACTTATTATTAAACATCAGAACATGTTAATTCTATAGAATACCCAGGACAGTACAAAATTAGAATAAAGTTTCCAAATACCTTGCTTTGCTATTGGTTCAAAATTCTGGTTCCTGGGCTGGCAAGATAAAAAATTAAGGTAGAATTTCTCTCTGAAATAAGTCAGCTTTACTAGTAAACATATATGCACCCAATATAGAACACCAACATATATTAACAAACTCCTAGATGACTTCAAAAAAAAAAGTCAATGGCAATTCAATCATAGCAAAAGACTTCAAAAACCTGCTAACATCACTGGATAGATCCTCTAATAATAATAATAATAATAATAATAATAATAACAACAACATTAAAAAAAAGACTCTAAATGATGCACTAAATCAAATGGATTTAATAGATATCTATGGAGAATTACACCCAAACTGCAGAATTTACCTTCTTCTCAAGTGCACATGGGGCATTCTCAAAAATAGACTTCATGTTATGTCACAAACTAAGTTTCTACATATCACAATGGCATGAAAAAAGAAATCCATTACAAGAAAGATAAGCAAAAACATTTAAACATAGGGAGGCTAAATAGCATGTTATTAAACAATTAATGGGTTACTAACAAGATCAAAAAAGAAATAAAAACTTTCTGGAAAACAATGAAAATGAACACACAACACAAAATTAATGGGAAACAGGGAAATAGTCCTGAGAGGGAATTTCATAGTACTAGAGGCAGACCTCAGAAAACAAAAAATAGTTTCAGTGAACTATATAACCTTACAACTTAAAAAACTAGAAAGTAATAAAAAAGAAAAACCCAAAGCAAGTACAAAGAAAGAAAGAATAAAGATCAGAGCAGAAATAAATAACATGTTTTTTTAAAAAAATGATTCAAAAGATCAATGAAACTAAGAGCTGGTTCTTTGAAAAGATAAACAAGATTAATGGACCTGTAGCTAGACTTACAAAAAACAAAAAGAGAGGACTCAAATAAACAAAATCAGAAACAGACCAGAACAACTGATATCATAGAAATACATAGAATTGTTAAGAAATAATATGAACAATTATACGTCAACAAATTTGATAATCTAGGCAAAATGGACACATTTCTAGAAACACATAGTCTCCCAAAAGTGAGCCAGGAAGCCATAGAAAACTTAAACAGATCGAAAACAACTAAAGATATTAACAATGTAATCAAGAGTCTTTCAGCTAACAAAAGCCCAGGCCCAAATGGCCTCACCAAGGAATTATATCAAACATTCAAACATAACTAACCCCTGTTCTCCTCAAACTAGTTCAAAAGAGTAGGGAAGAGAAGAGTCTTACAAACTTATTTTATGAGGCCAGAGGCCAGAATAATTCTAATTTCAAAACCAGAAAAAGATACTAAAAAGAAAACTACAGGCCTATATCTCTGATGAACATAGATGCTAAAATACTTAACAAAATATTAGCAAGACAAATCCAGCAATGAATTAAAATATTATTCACCCTGACCAAGTAGGATTTATTTCAGGGACGAAAGTCTAGCACAATACTTGCAAATTAATAAATATAATATACCACATAAATAAAATAAAAGATAAAAATTATATTGTCTTAACAATAGATACTGAAAAGGCTTTTGACAAAATTCCACACATTTCTGATAAAAACACTCAACAAAGTCAGAATAGAGAGATCATATTTGGACATAATAAAGACCATATATGAAAACCTACATTCAACATCATACTCAATAAGCAACACACACAAAAAAGGCCTTTTCCTTAAGAACAGAAACAAAACACGTATACCCACATTTACCACCTTTATCTAACATATTTCTTTAAGTTTTAGCCACAACAATTAAAGATGAAGAAAAAGTAAAATGAAATTCAAGTTGAACAGGAAGAAATGAAACTGTCATTATTTGCAGCTGCCATGATACTGTACAAGGAAAACCCTAAAGATCTCATAAAAAATTTAACTAAATTTAATAAACAAATTTGGCAAGGTAGAAGGATACAAAATTTACATCAAGCAATTGATAGCATTCTTATACACCAATAATAAAATCACAATAAGAAAAAGTAAAAGAGCAAACAAAATAAAAACATTCTCATTTACCATTTCAGTAAAAAAAAAAAATAAGACACCTAGGAATAAACATAATTAAAGAAGTAAAGGACATATTTGCTAACAAGTAGAAAACATTAAAAAATAAAGATATAAAAAAGTGAAAGCATATACCCTGTTTATTAATAAGAAGAATTAACAAAATTAAAAATGTCCATACTACCCAAAGCAATCTAGAGATTCAATGCAATCTACTTTGAAATACCAAAGATTTCACAGAACTAGAACAAATATTCCAAAAGTTTATATGGAACAAAAAATGAAACCAAATTAAAACAGTAATATTGAGGGGAAAAAATAACCAAGTAAGAGAAGTCACAATACTGGATATCAGGTCCTACTGCAACGACATTGTAATCAAAACAGCCTGGTACTGGCACAGGAACAGGCATAAAGATCAACCCAAATCTCATGCTCAAATTGTGACCAAAACATTATTCTCAATTAATATTTGACAAAGGTGGCAAGAGCGTACAATGGAATAAAGAGAGCCTCTTTAATAATTGATGTTGGAAAAATTGGACAGCTACATGCAAAAATATAAATCTAGACCATCAACTTACACCATACACAAGAATAAACTCGAAATAAATAAAAGACTTAAATGTGACTTTAATCCATGAAAATTCTAGAAGAAAATGTAGCTAACAAAATTTCAGATATCTCACACAGCAGAATTTATATTGACACAATGCCTAAAGCAAGAGAAACAAAAACAATAATGCATGGCACTACATAAAACTCAAAAGCTTCTGTGGCAGCAAATGAGACAAGAATCAAAATGAAAAGGGAACCTACTATATGAAATAGCACAGTTATCAACAATACATCAGATAAAGGGTTACTGGACCCCAAAACCTGTGAGTTTTGAAAGAATAAAAAAGTGAGGAAAAAGGTTATATTTGCAAGAACACATGACAGTTTGGGCAAGTTTCAGTGGGTATGTGTCTTCAAATGGTAGGGTGGGACATGTTTTTTCTGAAGATCAAATTGAAAGACCCAATATTTTTTATTTAGACATTTTACCAGCAGTCATTATGGAAGGACACAAGCATCTAGAAGATTGGAGAATGTCTGGTTTTCTTTGTCGCAGCAGAAAATCTGGAACAGGCGAAGAAGGTCCAGCCAACAGTAAACACTCTTCCAGGAGAGATTAATCACCTAAAGAGGAAAAGGTAAGGTCAGGTACAATATGGGGCTCTGAACCAAGCCCGACAGATGCCTGACTCTCACCACAAATTCTTTACATGTGTATCTTGTGGTTTGTATGAGTCATGCTGTATTTTTTCAATACCTTATAAACATTCACATATTCAGGTCTCATGACATCTCAATAGTACCTATACAGTGGTCGTTCCCACTTTATAGATGAGGAAACTGAGCCCAGAGAGGTCAAGTAGCTTGCTCAGTCACAGAGGTATGAATGACACACCCAGGCTACTAAGCTCATGCTGTTGACACAGTGCTTTCTGGCTGTTCCAATACCATGACATTTATTTACATCAGAAGAATGTTAACTAATCCCATGCTAATGATAATAATGGCCCACTGTGGCCTTCTCTATGTCCCATAAAAATTAAGAAAGTGACTCTGTTTCAGTGTTGCTCAGTAGATACAGCATCAGCCTACATACTAAAATGTTGTAAGTTTGATTCCCAGTCAAGGTCACTTGCCTGGGTTGCAGGTTTGATCCCCATTTCTGGACAGGGATGTGTCTTTCTCACATTGATGTTTCTCTCTCACTCCTCTTTTCTGTCTCCCTTCTATTATATCTGAAAGTCAATGAGAAAAAAATTATTGGGGAGAATTACAACAAAAATAAAATGAATCTTGAAGGGCAGTAGCTTGTGGGATAATACAAATTGTTGCCTGTTTGTCTACTTGATCTCAGGGTGATTAAATACCTTTAAAAGTCGACACTTTATCAACAACAACAACGACAAAATAGCAAATGTTGTTAAGAATGTGGAGACATTGGACTTACTGTGCATTGCAGGTGGGAGTAAAAAATGGTGCCGACACTATGAAAATGGTACTATAATATCTCAAAAAACTTCAATATAGAATTAGCATATGATGCAACAATCTTGCTTGTGGATATATACCCCAAATTAGGAAAAGCAGAGACACACACCCACGTTAACAGTAGCGTTATTCACAGGAGACAAGAGGTGAAAATCACCCAAACATCAACCATAGATGACAGCATGGACAAAAATGTAATCCGTGCACACGCAAGATGTTATTCAGCTTGTAAAGAAAATTTTGATACCTGTTACAGCACAAATGGACCTTAAAGAAATAGTGTTAAGTGACGAAGGGCAAACACAAAATGTCAAATACTGTAAAATTTAATATACATGAGGTCCCTAGAGTAATCCAATTTAAACACAGCATGCAGAATAGAGGTTGCCAAGGCTGGAAAATAAATGGTGGTTCACTGTTCAATGAGGATGTTTCAGCTTGGAAGATGAGACATTTTAGCAGATGATGGCTGTGTGTAGCACAACATGGTTATATTTCTAAATGCTGCTAAAGGGTACCCTTAAAGAGGTGAAAATGGCACATTTTAAGTTTAAATATTGTAATACAATTTAAACCGCACCACAATAAAGCCAATGGTTTATGAAGAGCAGAGATGGGTTGGATTGATTCGAGGAACCAGAGTCGGCGGTTTGGCAACACCATTACAGCCCTTTCTAGGTCCCATGTTTGTGTTTGCTCCCACACACTCACACTCAGTCCTGTCACTGCCCAGGACAGAGCGAGGCGATGCTGGAGATGGCATTACCTGCTGACAGTCATAACTGGCAGTCAGCTGATACTCAGGGCCTCCATCCACAAAGCTAAGAGCAAGGAGGCTCAGAGACCGGCCTGAAAACATGATGGTGCGGGTTTCTCTAAAAATAAAGGGGTCCCGGGCTTACCTGTCTTGTAGACAGTCTGATGACAGTTAACCTATTCACAGTGTAGATTAAAGGGTTAAACTAAAGTACCCCCCTTAATCTCAAGGCTGTTTTCACCAGAGGAAAACAACAATACAAAAAAAACCAAATATACAACCATGGTTCTCCAACAAATATAAAAATATAGAAGGAGAACCCAGATATACATATAGTTGTAACTTCCAACTGTAATAAAAATTTAAAAAATCAAAGCATTCTATGTTTCCATGATTACCTAAGCTGGTGACCAAAGACTACTTAAAAGGTAAGAGCCATAGAACAGGTCTTCAAGTACTGAGAAGTCTTGGTAGAATAAAAATGTCTTTTTTAGGTCTGAGAACAAATAGTCACCGTAATTCAGAAGAGTCTTAAGTAGAACAACTGTAGAGGGGCCACAGTGATGGTGAGAAAGGTGCATGGAGCCATGCTAGGAGCCAACCTTGAGGTTATCAGGAATGTGCCTTCCTGAAGTATTGGACAAGGAGCTCAGGTTCATGCTTACCAAGGCCCTCACATGCAGCTTTGTTCTGCTTCACTTGCAAATGTCAATGTCACTCTCTCTGCTCCTTTACTGCAAATACAACTTTTACCCCTCTATGACTTTGGTGTAAATTTATAGTTTGTGTGCAGAACTCCTATCCAAAAATGCACACACCTGAAGCAGGCACCAGATGGGAAGACAGGAGGACTAAAGAGATGAGGCATGGCAAAGAGGAAGACCGTGGGAGAAACTTCTGGTTCCATTTTTATTTTTATGTTATTTTATTTAAAACGTACCTTTATGTTGTATTACAGATGCCCTTCTTTTTTTTTTATTGACCTCCTTTCCCACGTCTTACACCCCTCCTGCTTTCCCCCCGCTACTGTGTGTGTCTACTGGCTATGCATGCATGCATGTAATTTTCTGCTTTCTCTCTTACGACCCCACCTCCCCTCTTTCCTCTGAGGTTCCTCAGTATAACAACCAATTTGTACTTCCTCATCCGTTCATCTTTTTCATCCAAATCACCTCCCATGTGGCAAGCAACAAAAAGTTCTCTGTATTTGCCCTGGCCAGTTTAGTTCAGCAGTTAGAGCGTTGACCTGCGGTCCAGAAAGACCCAGGTTCAGTTCCCACTAAGTGCACGTATCTCAGTTGCAATTTGTCTCCAGCCCGGGTTGCATTGTGCGGGTGGCAGCCACTTGATGTGTCCCTTGCTGGAGCCTGGAGAAAGGAAGTCCAGTAAGAAACTCTGCAGGTCCTTTAAGGGAAACTGCCTGAAGCAACAAAAGCCTCAGCTTCAGTTCTCACTGTTTTTATACCCAATAGATTTGGAGACTTCTTTTCTGGCACTGGAACTTTGAGCTGAGAGCCTGGTATGAGACAAGGACCACTTGCTCCTTGGAGAGAATATTCGCAGCCAAGGGAACCTCCTGACTTTTGTCTGCCACAGGTGGGTGTGGGACCAGCCAAACCATCTTTATCTGTCCTAACAATTTTGGTGTGGCTGCTTCTTCAATATCATAGTTATAGAACTTCTACTCAACTTGATGTCAGGCGGTTCTGAAGGATGTTTGTTCTGTGGAGCAGTTGTAATTTTGATGTGGTTGTGGAAGAAGGAGAGTATCCTATGTTTTTTGACTGCAAGTCTAGTTTTATTTTGATTTTTCACTTCTTTTGGTTTTATATTTTACTGGCAGTATACTTTATAAAGAGTTAAACATACTAATCTTAATTGTGCAGCTCAAGAAATGTTTGCAAAGATTACCTTGTAACCTCCACACAAATCAGAAGACAGAAAACTCCCATTCTCTCCAAAATTATTTTATGTCTATCATGAGGCAATAGCCACAGTGTTTGACCCTTTTGCCCTTGCCATGGGCTTTTGGTTTCCTTTCTTCAGCATAATGGATTGGGAGTCATTTGTGTTCTTGACCATATCATCTCCTGGTTTATATTCATTGTTTTGTAGCATTTCATGAATGGTCATTCACAACAAATGTGTCCATTCTTCCACTGATGGCCATCTGGGGTGTCACCAGATTGCAGCTATTATGGGCGGGAACTGGTTGATATTATAAAAACGGACATGTTCTCTCTGCTCTTTGATGTTGATGCTCACAGGGAAGATGGAAATGTGTGTGCTCTGGACACAAGTTTCTAACAGAGGTGTGGCCAGTAGAGTTTAGGTAAACTTTTGACATTTCACGGAGAACTGTGCACATATTGTTGCTTCTTGATTTTCTCTGTTGGGGGAGCCTCTGTCTTAGAAATAGACTCAGGAAAGGCAGACAGATGGAGTCTTTTATTCGTTGTGACCTGTCTCCTAGGGGAAGAGAGAATGTCTTTGGGGGAGTATGTAGAAGACACAGTGATGGAGTTTATGTCTCCAATCAGACACCTGGGTCATGTGAACGAGTGTTAGGGCAGAAACCCAGCTCTCCAGCAGACAACATTACTACTTGCTTTGACTATTATGACAGAGGAGTTTGCCAGAGGACCAGTGGTTTGTCCTAGCACCACATCTGACCAGGCACAAGTCTCCAGAACCTCATTATTTCAATCAGCATGAGGAGGAGAGAGCCACCTGAACCCATCTTCTGTCTGCCATAGGTATGCTGGGCTTCTCAGTGCTCAACCCACCACACACATTTTTCAGGGCTGCCTACCAGGTGAAAAATCAATCAAGAAATACAAAATATTTAACAATCACCTCACTGCATGAGATCGTTCAGTTTCTGAAATAATACCAGGGAACCATTCTTGCTCTTTATTTGATGTGCTTATGCTGCTGCCTGGTGGAAATTTTGAAGAATGATTTTAAATACAGAATAAAATCTAGAAGTAGTCTTTGCATACATTTATTATTTAAAAAAAAACAAAAACCAAAAAACTAATGCATGCTCATTGTAGAAAATTTAGATTACCCAGGAAATACAAAACAAACAAACAAAAGAAACAAAAAGAAAAAACACCCACCATTTTGGGATTGGTTTAGGATTCTGAGCTCCTTTTTGGGAAGATAGAAAGAACAAGTGCAGGTTTCTCTTTTTGTAAGAAGTCAACTTTTCAGCTACTTGGATGCTAAGCTTTTCATTTTAAGATACTAGTAATTTGGCCTGTCATATACTGTGGTTGCTTTAGGTTGTTTCTCTTGTTCTGGTTTAAGTTTTGTATTGTGCTATAATTTAAAAAGTTGCAGTGAACATCTTATATATGGTATGTGAATATACATATCTTGGTTAAATGAAATAACTCTATAATGCAAATTTCAAACAGAGTTGTTTTCAATAATATCTGCAGTTATGAATTTGATGAATATAGCCCTGGTTGGGTAGCTGTATTGCTTAGAGCATTATTCCCATTGACGAACGTTGCAAGTTTGATCTCTGGTCAGGGCACATATAAGAATAAACCAGTGAATGCATCAGTAAGTTGAACAAAAGCTTGATCTCTGTCCCTCTCTGTTTCTCCTTTTCCCTTTCTCTCTCTCCAAAGTCAGTCAATAAAAACGTTTTATTTCTGTTTTTATATACTATTTACAGAGAGAGAGGAAGGAAGAGAGAGATAGAAACATCAATGTGAGAGAAATATTGATCACCTGCCTCCTACAAGAGCCCTAGTGGTAATCAAGCCTACAAACTGGGCCTGGGCCCTGATCTGGAATCAAACCAAGACCTCTTAGTAAATGGGGCGGTGATTAGTTCACTGAGCCACATCAGATGAGCAATAAACAACAACCACAAAAATCACTGTGCTATATAAGAGCCACGTTCATTTTCAGACCAAATGCCAAAAAACCATTTTTCTATTTATTGGATGTGCTGCCATCTGGTGGAATAGTAGAAGAATGCTCTGTGAACAGAACTGGGAATAAAATCCACGTGTTCATTGCACATTGAGAGTTACTAGAGATAAATTATTATTTTAATATAATGCATGCGCCATTTAGAAAATTTACAGTACCCAACAATGTAGAAAGAAAAAAAATGTCACTTATAATGTCACTTGGCCATTGTTCCATGATTCTGAGTTCCTGGGCTGGGAAGATAGAAATTTTAAGGTGCAGTCATTCTCTCTGTATAAAGTCATCTTTTCTGCTTTTGAGTGTTTACCTTGAACTTTATTTTTATACTTGATTCTTACTTTGCTTACCTATTATCTTTAAAAAAAATAAAATTTAGTTCAGCTACAGTGGTCAGTAATTGAGCATAGACTCTGCAACAAGAGGTCTCAGGTCGGATGCCTCGTCAAGGTACATTCTCGGGTTTGGGCTGGATCCTCACTAGGCCATGTAGAAAAGAAATCTACTTGAGGTTTCTATTTTTCTTCCTCTCCCTCTCTCTCACCAAAAAATTAATACATTTTTCAAATTATTAGAATTTAATTGTGTTCAGGTACTTTAGTTGCTTTAAGTTCAGTTACTTGTTTTAGGTTTTTTCTGCTTATTTGTTTTTACTTTTTAAAAAATCTATCTTTATTGTTCAAAGTGTTACAGACATTTCTTTTTTTTCCCCCTTCCTGACACCCTTCTTCCCACTCCACCACCCCTTTCCTCAGAGCACTGTTGTCTGTGTTTATTGGTTATGCATATATGCGTAGAAGTTCTTTGGCTTATACAATTTTTTGTTTTCCATTATTATAAAAATTGTTGCAGTGAATATTTAATATATAATATATAAATATATTCATGTATATACACATACACATATACATATATGTATCTGGTGAAGTATATAACTAATTCGGTAGTGTAAAATATAAACAGGGTCTTGCTGAATGGTTACATGCATTTATAAACTTAATAAATATTGCACTGGTGAGTAGTTGAGTTGGCTAGGGCCTCATCCCAATACACTAAGGTTTTGGTTTTGATCCCTCATTTCAACCCATAATAGATTCAACTAACAAATCTATACTTTAAGTGGAACAAAAATCATTTTTTTCTGTCTGTCTCTCTACCTTGTCTTTCTCTTTCCTTTTATATTTCTTCAAAATTGATCCATAAATAAATAATTTAAAATAGCCCTGGTCACCAGCAGTGGCTCTCAGTGAGAGGTCGCATGGCAGAGCAGGAGGGCGGCGATGGTGGGCGTCTTCTTTGGTGTGCTGTGGCCATTCTCTCCACCTGCAGGAGCTCAGCAGGCCCTCTGCGCAGCCTGCCCCTATCAGGAAGGGCAGGTTTCTGTGGCTTGACGATTCCACTTCTTTCTTCAACCCAAATTTACACAGCACTGACCAAGAGCGACAACAGTGCCATGAAAAGCCTCTTCACCAAGCAGGGACAAGCCGGTGCCCGAGGGACGCAGAGCTGTTGGCGTGCCGTGCACCACTCTTGCCGTGCCCGCCTGGAGCCCCACAGCTGAGCACCGCTCTTGCCTCGTCCTCCTGGAGCCCCCAAAGCTGAGCCCTGCGGTGCTGGGAGCAGCGCAGCCTGAATCGGAGGGACCGCGGTGCCCGGGGCTCTCCAGAAAACCGACGTGTGGCACTGTGCAGTCCCCGTGCAGGGCGCAGACTGCCCATCATAGCACGTTTCCCCGAGCGGGGCTCGGGGAAGTTACTGCTGTTAGGACAGAGTGTATCCACCTTCCTAACACTACACTCCACAGAAGGCGCAGCACGAGCCCTGTGGCTTGTGTTTCAGCCCACTCAGAAAACTGTCCTCTTTAGGAACAGCCCTTCCCGACCCTTTATTCCCCAATTCAGCTCATCGTCCCCATGTCCAAGGCAAGGGATCACAGTCTGCGAGATGAGGATCAGCCGAAGTTTTGTTAAGTGTTCATTAAAACCCACAGCTACTGAATCAGACTCTCAGAGAACAGGTCTGATCAACATGACTTTTTTGGAGACTTGATTTTTTGGTCAGTGAGACTGCTGGATGCTTCGTTTGGTCTTTAGACCCAATACACTGGCATTTCTGGGCGGGCTGAAACCACGCAGCAGTGTTTCTCCCAGCTCCTCAGGCACTGGCCTCAGGCACTCGGTGAGGTCTTTCTCCACTTCTGTGCCACAAAGTAGCAGCTGTGAGCAATTTCCCCATTACTTCACCATTACTGACTTGAATGTATAATAAAGACACTCTGAAGCATTAAAAATAAAAAATAAATAAATAAAATAGCACTGAATTGTATTACATTATTAAATTTCAGACTAAAAATCATTTTTACTTTTTATTTTATGGGAGTATGCTACAACCCAGTAGAGAACTAGAAGAATGCAATATCACTGCAAAATAATTCATAAATTCCAGATGTTTTTACATATAAAAATATCCTAAGTTATTTATTATTAAAAGTTAATGTATACCCATTCTATAAAATTACTCAGGAAGGTAAATAGTAGAAAAACATTTCCCATTTTAATTTGCCAATTTGTTCTGAATTCTGAGTTTCCACACACACAAAAAAAAATATAGAAAGATCAAGGTG